ACTCTGAAGCTACTGCACGGCTGAAATGCCACCCTGACCTTTTTTTAATTGTGGTATCTCCATTTTTATCTCCCTACCTCATGCTTCAATATTTCAAACAAATTTCCTGGGTTTTAACTTGCCTATTTCTTGACTACATTTCAACCCTGCAGAGCAGTGAGGCTGGAGAGCAGGACCCGACAGCCTCGTAGCACACCCTGACACACGGGAGGTCTCAGAACTGAAATTGCAAGAGAAGCTGCTCAGCCGTGCTGTTTGAAGAGACGTTACTGTTTTTTCGATGCCCTGGGCTTTAGCCAGAGCACCCATCCGCTCCCCTCCTTGAGGGTGTCACCTGGATTCCTACTGGTGTAGGATAAAAAAAGCAGTAACTGCATTCCTACTGCTGTGAGCAATGCTGCAAGTCCATATACTGTAAACCTAAAATCTTTCATCTTCAGTGGCCAAGACAGTTCTTTCATTTAAAGTTGGTAACATAAACATCAGGTTCAGAGAGGTTCAGCTGAGGTAGAGCAGGGAATAGAGAACTGTTTCTCTGAAATTTATTTTTCTGAGATGACAGATGTTTTTTTGATAGGGTTTATGTGGATTCCTCTTTGCCACTTTGCTGCTGATACTGGAGCTGAGGTTTTAAATCTCAGGTGCTTTAATCATCGCTTTGGCTGCTAAATACAGTAATAAATTTGGGAGGTTGTGGGGTTTTTTTAAGCTTCTGACTATGCCTTGTGGCTATATTCTGCCTTGATTTATAAACCTCTCATCCCATGGGGTTATGAGGCAGTCTGCATCAGATAGGAGTTTGGCTTCGTGAGTCCCTCCACTCATGAATGGGCATCAGTCAGCTGAGGCTTATCCCAGCATGTTCCCTCCTCCTGAGCATTGTTGTGCCAGTGAAAGAAAATGTGAAAGTCCTTTCACGGTTAGTGACCTGGGTCAGAAAAGTTAAGAGTTACTGGATGAGAGAGGGTGTATTTTAAGAATCTAATAGTAAAAAGTGCCTAACTGTCAGAAACTATGTGTACTGAGAATGTGGATTCATTCTTTCCCGAGATACTGCAGATTGACTGGTGCAGATTATCACTGCTGGTGGTGGTGGTGTCTTTGCGACATGTGTCCTAACGACTGTGGTGGGCAGTGCTGCGTGGAGGGTGAAGAAAGAAATGTCAGAGAGGAGCAAGTAAAGCCAGAGAGATAATGTGTTCAAGGAAATAAGGCAGGTGAGAAGTGGATTGGCCCTTGGGATGGGACTGTTGAGCCCCCAGGCTCTGGACAGGCTGTTAGGTTTAGCCCAGTTAGATAGGGAAGTGGTGAAGATATGATGGGATGTTTCTGTTACCAATAGACACATGATCTACAGATCACGCATGTTGGTCCTCTTCGTCTTGCTGTTAAGTATCTTGGGCACAATAAATCCATGTAGAGCACAAATCTAGATGAAAAGAAATCCGTTTGAGCAACCCGATTTGTCTGCTTCAAGGTAGCTTTGCAGCTGGGTGAGACAAAGGTGTTGCTGATGAAAGCAAGTGGGAGAGTAGAGTTGTTACCAGGTCAGCTTCATCGGGGTGGCTGAAGAGGATGGCGCTGAGCCAAGCTTCCCGAGTCACGCTGGCCGGGGCTGGCGTGGCAGTTTGATGGAGCATCTGGTGGTGGGAGAGGTGGCAAGAGCAATGTGACAATGAAGTGGAACGGAGCAGCGGTAACCAGGCAGAGGGTGTTAACAGCAGCCTGCTTCAGCGGACTGAGAAGGCAGTTCCAGTTGCTGCTCCAGTCCCCTGTTACTGTTTCTCCGTTCTCTTCACTGAAGGCTCGCTTTTAATTCAGCATCGATTTCTGGACCAGCTTGACTTCTTTCCTAGCAGAAGCAAACTATTAACCTAAAATGCCATAGTGGAAGCAGGTGTGGTGCTCTGGCACCTGAATCCAGTTCACGGCATGCACAGACCAGGGAACCGGTCACTGGAAACCTCTTGGCCTGCTGGTGCAGGTGAACACGTGCAGGTGAATGCTAGTGCAGACTTGCTTCCTGAAGTGGTGCAGGTTTCTTTTGAGAAACCAATAATTCATTATGATGGATGTTTGAATCTCTTTTCCTTCCATATTAATTTTTTTTCTGTAGATAAATTCTTTATTAACTAGAAGTCTTGAATAAAGCTTCACATTCCCTTTGGGTATGAAGTTGCTTCTTCAGTGTGTAGTTACTGAAGGTGCTAAATTGAATGGAAAGAAATAATTATCCAGTGGTTTGACAAAGAGAAGGCATACTGGTGTGGTGGCAGGCTCTGTAGTGTAGCCCAGGAAAACTCCTAGATAAGGACAAATGAGAACACCTTGAGTTGGGATGAGTAAGATAGGAGGAAAGGATTATCCTCACATTTTGCATGCTCAATCAGACAGACATGTCAAAGAATTGTAACCCTGCCATGATTTCAGTAAAAAGTTGATTCTTACTTGAAACCAGTCATGTCCCACTTGGGGGGGACTGTTAAATTTGTCTGTAAATTCTATGGGGCTGAACAGACCTCAGTGCTTATGAGACAGGGGCTGGAATTGGTCTCTCGGCACTGTGATTTTCAGCATTTTCAGACATACTATACTTTGGGCACTTTGTTTTTCCATCTACCCCCAGATAGCAGGGTTCAGAAGTTCTTGGATCTCTGAACTGCGGTGCTGTCGGTGCGTGGGTAGCGGTGCCCAATCCTGTGTGTTTGCTCTAATGAGGCTGTACATCTTCCATGGAAGTATTCATCTCAGGAGGAGCAGGGGCAGCTGTCAGCCACTATTTTGTGGTGTTCTTAAGAAATATGTAGTGTCATTGTGCCCACACAGATTAGTAAGTTTGACAAGTTGAGATGAGTACTTAGAAGCGGCCTTTGTTTTTAATTTCAAAGATGGTGTGCTTGGCACTGTTAGCCAGCACAGGTCTTGGCAGATCTTGAGGTGGTGTTTTCCCAAGCCGTGCCTACTCCAGAGCTCAGGTAGTCTTGGAACTGGAGAGGGTCTGAGTCGCTGGAGAACAAATGTGGTGGCTGGCCGCCTATTGAGAGGTGACAGGTGGCTGGAGGGACTTTGGAGCCTGGGAACACTTTCGGCACTGGTTGGTCCATGGCACCGTATCCTGCAGCTGGTGGGACTCGGTGGACATGTTGAATGACAGCTGATGGTGCAGCTTCTTCCACACTTGAATGGCTTGCGGTTGTTCTGGTGGTGGCCATGGTAGTCCATCAGGCTCTGCTGGAGGAGTTGCAGATGTCTGTGCTGGCTCTAGACAGGAGACCATGGGTGAAGGAGACCACTGCCCGCCTTTCATATTTTAGCTGGACAGTACCAGTGAGGTGCATGACTCCTCGCTACACCCAGAAATGTTTTGGACTTCACATGAAGTCTGGAAAGACAGCATCAGCTGTAGATCCAAGAGGCATAGCTCTGTCTTTAGGACTCTTTAGGGCTCAAGAAGTGACACAGCTGCCAGCTACAGCATCCGGAGACTGAAGTCTCATGAGGAGACCAATGAAGCAAACCTGAGTTGTGTCAGCTTGACCGGTCCTGACAGTCACTTCTTGAGCGGAGTGGCCAGAGACATATTTATTGCCTAGTAGTGCTGGAGGAAGTTGTAGCTCAAGCAGAAAAATGAGATAAGGCTGACATGCTGTGCCAGTCCCAGCTAGATTCAGTTCAGTCTCAGCTGCAGACAGAGCAGGGGAGAGCCCCTTGGCAAGGTGAGCACAGTCCAGGATGGGCTTCAGGTTCAAAAGCTGAAAGTGGACTTCCTCAGCTTGGGAGGGCTCTTTGCAGAGGGGCACAAGAGCACTTCATGGGAAGCAGAATGCGGCAGCAGTGAAAGGTGCGTGTTGCACACATACACCATCAGACTTGTCCTGAGACAGGTCTCTTCCTCATTCATCTCTTCATGGCCAGCTACAAGGCAGCCAAGCCTCAGATTGTTGCTGAGTTCTTCTGGGTCGTGGGAAAGTAGCTAAGGGAAAGATGTTCATTAAATATCTAGTGAAGCAAAGGCTTGCGTTTACTTTCTGCCTCTGTTTAAAATGCTGCTGTCTGTGCTGGACACTGATGATTTTATTTTTTTCCGGGGTAGTAGTCACATGAATAATGCATTCCCTGCTGAGCCTTTTAACAGTCCCCTAGCTGCTTCCCATCTGAAGGGAAGTGTAAGAGGTAATTAACAGCCACTTGAAAAAAGGATTAGCAGGTGGGTGGGAGCTACTGTTGGGATCATGCATGGAATTGCCATGGAAATGTTGAAATTTCCTGGCACTTCATCCAGTGTGTGGGCTCCAAAGATAGATGCACTCATGGGTCTCTCTCCTTTCGATCTTCCTACCCTAAAAAGGGAGCAGTTGCGTTTTCCTTCAGGACAGGTTCCGCCGGCTGTGCTGTCGCCATCTGCACACAGGATGAGGCCAGCTGACCAGGGATGCTGCGGAGCAGGATGCTGTGTTGCAGCTGTCGGCTGAAGTCTTTTTGCATTTCTTTCATGTCAAACCAATTGTCAGAAAATCAGAGGGAAAAACCCCAAACTCTACTGGTTTCCCCCTTTCCCTTAGTTCTAAAAAAATAATAACTTGGTGCACAAAACGCTCGGAGTTTGTCCCTTTGTAGAGAAGCTGGTGCTGGTCCTTGTCCGGTGAGCTCTCAGCAGCCCTTGCGTGGCTAAGCCCAGCGATGCAGCCAGGACTGCGCTGCTGAACAAGGGCTGGTTTGCATGTAAGCATTTTCAGGCTGTGCAGTGAGACCTGCGTTTGCTTCTTTGTTTGGTGGCCAAGCACACTTAACATGGGTATATTTGTGAGAAATCTCTCATGTCAGTGCCAGCTGTGGAGGTTTTAGAAGACTATGGGCACAAACTCACCTGAAAAGGTTCCTGGGGGAACCTACCATATCTCTCCCCCCCTTCCCCTTTCTGCAGCAGTAACAAAGAGCCTCCTGAATTTGTCGGTGCCTGGGGTGCTTTGGTTTTAAGGAAAGTGTGCCGTTTGTTTCAGATCACCTGTTAGCAGACTCCTACATTGGACAGGAGGACTCCCCTGAGATGCAGCAGGCGGCACAGAACAAGCGCAGGCTCTCTGTCATCTCAGACGGCAAGTTTGAGAGGAGCTTCTCCGAGGAACAGGCAGAGAAGATACCAAGCGAAGGGCCGAAGCCACGAGTCTACACAATCTCTGTCGAGAGGCCGATGCTGTCGGACCACGAGAACGAAAGCATGGAACTGGTGGTGATGAAGGGGGCTGCCCAAGAGGAATGCCACCACGGCCACCATGTGCACAGCGCCGGCGGCTCTCACGGCGTTGGCAGGCATTGCAAGGGCTGGCCGGGCAGCCGGCAGGGCTCCAAGGAGTGCCCAAACTGCACCCGGCTGGCTGCCCCTTCCCAGCATTCCTTTGACCTGGAGCAGCATCAATCCAGCGAGACTGGGTGGCACAGAAAAAGGCTGGAGAGGATGTATAGTGTCGATCGAGTGTCTGGTAAGTGAGGGTGAGTGCTGGGTGCTGGAAGGACACAAATGGACTCATCGACTCAGGGTTGAAGGGTGGCACCCAGCTTATCCCAGCATGGAGGTTTCATTGCCGTGTGCCTTGAATTGGGCCCTGTAGTGTTTCCCCTTCAGCACCTTGCTGGTACCTTGCACCAGCATTGATGGAAAGGGATTGTCAAAGGGGGAATTCAAAATAAGCTGAGTCCAGTTTGAGGCCAGCTCATCCAAGCCCTGCAGTCTCTGCTCCTAGCTTGCCAGCAGCAGGTGACTTGGGTGGTTTTCGTGTCAGCTTCATGTAGCTTAGTGTGGTTGATCGCAGCGGGTTCCCTTTCTGTTGAAGGAAGAGCAAGAGAGCAGGGGCAGTGTCAAAGCACCTACCTTTGTGCTTGTCCAGGAGGTGGTTCAGAGCAGGACCCTTTCTCCTCTGCCTCATTCTGGGGCTGAGGCGGGTGAAATCTTTCTGAATGTGCCGGAGTGCTCTAAGGGAGCCTCAGCTCCGCTCAGGTACGGTGTTCTGGACTTCGGTGCGTCCCTGAAATGCCCGTCTGCATGGCTGGAAGCAGTTAGGTGGGTCCCTCACGTAGTGCTGCCTCATGGTCTTTCCATAAATGCCAGCAAAGACCACAATATTGGACTTTCTTCCCCTTTCACTATCCATTTGCTCAATATTTTCAGGGAATGGGGCTTGTAATTATTCAATTACATTTAAAAATTCCTGATTGTCTTTAAAAACTTAACTATTAATCAAAAAGATGTCACAATCTGTATACTTTGAATTATAAACTAATGCGCAGTCCATTTTGCCTGTTGGCTCTATATGTGGCTGGCAAAGAGTCTGACCTAATTTATCTGAATTTTTTTTTAAACACACATCAAGCCTTTTAGAGCGGAATGTCCAGCCAGCAAAGGTCAAGGTTTTCTCCTTGAAAATAAATTGAGTGTAAGGACTGCGGAGATCGAATTGCACATCTTTCCTGGGTTCATAGTTTTCTAGTAAATATCATAGTGATACTTACTGCAGGTAAAATCACAGAAAGGCTGGGTTCGGGACTATATTTTCATGCCTAGATGCTTGAAATTCTGTAACTAAATTAATACATGAACTAATACTAAAGAATAATTAGAAAATAATTTATTATCAAGTGTGCAGAATACCTGCAGTACCGCTAATTCCTGTGCATAGTTTTTAAGCTTTGTTTCTTTGTTCCCTGTGATTTTTGGACTTCACATCAGACACTATGTGTGCAAGTTTAGACTTTATTATTTTTATTGCTTAAGTGCAAGAACAGGAGTGAGAAGAGTTTGCCTCTTTGGAAACCTTTTATTGTTTTATCATCATATGTGTTTTACCTGCTAAAGCCATTTCGGTCCCAGCCTTTCAGGAAAGGAGATCACCAACCCCAGGGACCTGGTCTTGTGGGGATCAGGGTGCTGAGCTGGATCAGTTGCAGCCTCATGATGTGTGCTGAATTAAGAAAGGGAATATTTCCTGGTCTAATGCTGATGGATTTGTGTTGAAAGCTTTCCTGAACCTATCAAAACTGTACTCTGCACTTTGGGACTGAAGCAGGTTACTTGATGCAGAACTGAAGGAAAGCTCCAGGTCACTAACAGAGGACTTGAACCCCTTATGGCTGGAGCAAAATGCCTCCGCTGGAACACACATCCTAGAAAATGCTGTAGAGGCATGCTACATTCTGTTTCTGGGTTTTGGGGTTTATAAGTATTTTCAACTAGGCAGCAGTTTTGGTTAGGGCTAGTTATCTGTGTGAAACGGAGATGTGCCTTTCCGAAAATATACTGGAGTGGTTACGTAAATGGGAACAAAGTGGACAGTGCTGACCCGGCAGCTGCCTCCACGACTATTTCATGTTTCCTACAAGCAGGCAGCAGCTACCCTCGGGGCTTGTCTTGAGCTTTGGAGCGCTTGCATGTGTGGCTGCACAGGCAGCGCTGTGCCTCGGAGACCAAAGCCTGTCACAGCACTGGCACCATGCAATGACAGTTTTCTTAGCTTGGTCTTGTTTGCGCTCTCTGTTCATGCCCTGTTACTCAGAGAAAAACTGAGAATTGAATGGCACAACTGTTGCAGGTTGCAAGAAGTATTCCTTGGAATGTCCTTCATGCATGGCTAGCGAGAAAACAGAGCAGAGGGGCATGGGGGTGAGAGAGATGAATTTCCTCAGAGGTTCACTTTACAGCGCTGCTTTCTCTGGATTTACACATTATTGCAGCAAACCAACAGTCGCGGCAGTTAGGCCAGATTGGCATAATTTCATATGGATTTTTATGCTGAGTTTATGCTGCCTAACACCATTCCACAGAAGCACGAGCTGTCATCTCCTCTGCTGCTCCCAGCATCTGATACAAACACATCCACTCACGGAGAGAGGTGCCGAGATTTTCGTGCAGCCTGGCAAGTGGCCGGAGATGCTGAACGTGGTGGTGGTGTTCCTCTGGTCTTACCCAGGCACATGGTTCCTTATTTCATGCAGTTGATGGTAACAAGAAACAAGACGCTCTGCCTGGCCAAAAATGAGCATGCTACCTGCTCCTGGAAGCAAAATACTTGTAATCTGAATTTTTATTAGCTGGATGAGCTCTGGAGCTGAGCCGTGTTCTGTAGTCCATGGCTGCGTGCCTCCCTGCTGCTGTTCTACCTCTGGCTGGTAAAGAGGCACCTCTGAAGGGTCCCAAGTGCTTTATTCTCCACTGGGTGCTGTGGGTAGGGCAGTGACAGCTTTCCTGGGTTGACTCCTGTCTATCAGAAAAGGAGCGGAGGCTTCCAGCGATGGTCCAGGCAAAGCCTTGTAAGGATATTAGCTCTTGTTCATGAGCTCTGCTTTGAATCAAAGCTCGTGGCTTAAAAAGCTGTAAAATGTATTAAGAGATTGTCAGTCCTTTGAGATGCGTAGTCCCTGAGAAGTCTGTACAGAACTGTGGGCTAAAAAGGAATTTGTACAACTTCTCCTTCACCTCTTCTGTGGGTTCAAGGCTTCAAACCAGTAATTCATTTACAGCCTGAGCTGTTTTGCATTTCTTCTCTCTCTGTTTTTTGGAGGAGAGCAGACATAGGAACTTCATAATACATATTTAGCGTACTAGAATGCAGTTTTCATTTAACATGCATATTTCCTTAGAGTGCCTTTATCCAAGGCTTGGCATAAACTGTTAGCTGAGAAGGAGTGTCTGGTACAGCTTTCTGTATGATTTATTGGAGGCTGCACTTCAAAGGAAGCCTCCCCAGTTGCATTTAGCATTTTTTGCATCTGTAATTGCAGCCACTGTTTGTACTTTCAGGAAACAGCAGGATCAGTCTGCGGTAAGTGATGATCTTGTACAAAACGTTTGGTAAGATATCTAGTCTGTAGTAATTATGTCTGCAGTATGCGTGCAGGGTTTGATTGGGTTTTGGCCAATGAAAGTGAATAAAAAAATGCTCCTGACAATGCCAGAATATTAATGACTAAGATACTGTAGTTGCTAATGATCTTAAAAAGTGAATGAGTGAAGCAAGACAGGTCAGCAATATGTGGCAAGACATTAAGCAAGGAAGCCACAAACTGGGAGTGAAGCAAGATGAAAAATCAGGTAGCCCCAAATCCCAGGGATCCGGTCCACTGAGATCTCACGCGTCTTGTGTCAGTGGATTTTAATACACCTCTGATTCCCTGCCTGACCGCCTTCAGCCTGAGAGTTCTCAGTAGGAGCTGCTTCTTGGTCAGATTCCTCTTCCTGGTCACCACCATCCCACACACACAATTAGGGACTTATCTTGCTGCCTGCTTTTTGTTTTAGTGGTTATTACATGAAGATCATGGGGTGTCTTAATGCAGTGGAATTGGGAAATAATCCCTACGTGGTTCAGGCAGGGCTGTTTACAAACACAGGGGACCAATTAAAGACAAAGTATCTGCAGATTGGATAGCTGATGTGCAGTTTGACTTGTAAACCCAGCAAAACTCTTGAAGGGCTGGTCATCAGGAGCAGGTGTGTGAAGGTTTTATTGAAAAACTTCAGTGGAAGAAAAAGAGAGAGTATCTCAGCCTTACAGTTGTGACGAGGGGAAGGTGAATGCTTTTTGTCTTCCACAGGAGGCTGGATCAGAAAGAACTGGATGAATGGGACATTTCAAACTAATGGTACTAAGGAAAAGGCAGAGGCTGGAAAACACTTTTAATAAAAAATGTTTTTGCCTGTTTTTTTTCTTGTTCAGATGTCTTTTCTGTAAGTTTTGAATTATTATAATCTTCCATGCTTAGGATAGGCTTTCATTCTTCATTTAGATAGACAGGCTACAGTTTAATTTACAAAATACTTGGTTGTAGTGTGCGTATGTATGTGGAGGATGAGACTCTCCTTTTTAATACAGGGTAAGATGCTGAAGAAAAGTGCTCGGAGAAGGAGCTTGGGAAGTCTTGCTGTCTGCACGATGTCTCTGCCTGCTGGATTCTCAGGTTTTGCTCTCTCTCTTCCAGATGATGTCCCCATACGAACCTGGTTCCCAAAAGAGAACCTCTTCAGTTTTCAAACCGCTACTACAACTATGCAAGCGTAAGTGGAACCACTACTGTAGCTTTTATTGTGTATCTTAAAGCTCGTGGCCCACTCAAAGCTGTATCTGAGAGCCTGGAGCAACTGAGTTGTGTGTTTGGCACCGCAGTCCCGGGCTGAGAGACAGAGAACCTTGTCTCTTACTGATTTCTTTTTTGCACTCATTAGTTCTCTTTCCTACTACTCCCACTTGTTTAGTTTTACCTTTTTTAACTCCTTGGGCTACCCAGCTCTTCTTTGCTTCCCTTATTTTCTCTGTGACACTGCGCCCCATTGCTGGCTGCCTCTGCAGAGCGAGGGTCCTGTGGGAGCACCAGCTGAGCCCCTCCAGCACTTGCTTCTGCTGCAGCCACTGCCCTGAGGGAACGTTATTCCAGGCTCGCTCTGCATCCATCACTGCTCCGGACATGATCTAGCCCTGCAGCTTCTGCACTGGTCTGGTTGTTTGAAGCAGGTGTCAGTAAATCTCTGCAAAGCGTGAGCAGGTCTGAGCTAGGAACAGCCTCTCCCTCCGCACTCCATGCCCCTGGTGCCCCTGGTTGCTGTGCGCTGGGAGGAGGAAGTTCTCAAAGCACTGAAGATGATAAGGGAAGGCTCATTTCCAGGTTATACCCAGCTTGTCACAAAATACCATCTTCCTGGTTTCAAGTATTTCCTACCTGCCTGGCAAGCCCAGACAAGCAGTGAGCTAAATGAGACACTGTTCTAAGGCCCTTCTCCAGCCCTGGCACCTTTTTCCTGTGTCCTTCCAATGTCTGTGTCACCTTCAGCTCTGCTCCTCTATTTCTCCTTGGCAAATCTGGTGTCCTTTTTGTAATTTCTCTGCCATTTTTTCTTTCCCTCATACGTTTCCCTTCCCAAATCCTAAAAAGCAGCTGGTTGTTGATGTTGGGATAACCCAGACTGGACCAGACCCGTAAGGACTGATGCAGGGCAGGCTGGATCCAGCACTGGGGAGAGGGACAGCTGCTGAGATAACTGGAGGACACCTGCATCCCCCAGCAAAAACACTTATCTTCCTGTCCTTCCCCTCCAGCTCTGCTGGAGGTGTGACCCACCCTCCCAGCATGGGGAACAGTATGGGGGTGGCATTTGCCTGGTGCCAGCCTGTGGAATCTGATGGTGGTGGTGGGGTGCTAATCCCACCCTGAGAGTGGGAGTGAGGGGTCTCCAGGAGTTTCTGCTCTCTTGGTATTGTCCTAGCGCTGCTTCTCTGGCCTGTGTGTCCCTCTGCCTCCTCTTCAGGGGCTGTAGGTCCGGTGGTACCCTGCTGGGTGACCCTCCTGGGCACCGGCTGACAGGGCCCGTGGGCAGTCTGAGGGCTGTTGGACAAAAGTTGGCGAGTAACAGCGAAAGATATGTTACAGTTCTGATTTGGACCAAACCATGCACAAAATCAGGACATTTCCTTTGCCTTCAGGCACATCCTTTGCTGTCTGAAGTCATCTTTGCTGTGCACAAGGTTTGTTGCAGGATGGTGGCCTGTGGCAAGGCCCACAAGGCTTGGAGCTGCTGGAGGCCCCAGGGAGGTTGGTTTGGGGAATGGTGCCCTAAGGAAACCCTTGAGGAGCACAGCGCCTGTGGTGATATAGCTCCCTGGTTAACGTTTCTGGAGATTCTGTGCTGCCTCCAGAAATGGCACAGAAACATCTCCAAAAGTTCCCTGGTTGGAACAGCTCCCTCAGGTGCCGCAGTGCTCCTAGCCTCTGCTCTGGTGTTTTCAGCCCATCGTGCTTGCTTCCTTCATAGACCAGGCAGTGTGAGCTGACTTCACAAGTCCTTGTCACTGTGGGAGAAGGTGTCCCTGCTCCAGAAGCCCATGGTGCTGAGCTCCCACCACAGCCCGACAGACCACGTTCTGCTGTTGGTGATACATCTGAATGTTCTCTGGGTCTTCATGGAGCTTCATTTGCATCCAAGCCACATGTCAGTCTTGCCCTAGGGAGGATTTAGCTCGGTCAAGTAGGAGTCTCACCACTGAGAAATGTTTCATTTAAAAAGCAATTTCCTTCCACCTAACAAGAAATATTCCTTCTGGAGTGAGAATTCCCTCAGAACACTGGCTGGGGCTGAGCACTAATGAATTCCTCTTCTCTTTCTTTTTCCCTGCATCTCCTGGAATCTCTAGCATCTCGTAAGTATAATCTTCACTTTTTTTATTTCCTTGTCTGTTGGTGTCCTGGATAAACCTTCCTCTCCTGTTCTGTCCATCATATTCACTCCTGCTTTCCCAGTGCTAGGGCTGTTTGTCAGCTGGCAAGAGGTTAGATGGCTGCACCTGACAGGCCTGCGTGGACCACGCCACAACCATCCTCATCCTCAAAATGGAGATTACAGTTGCTAGCATGCCTTTTTCCCTCTTGATCCTGGTGTATGGAGGTTTTGTGTCTGCAGTCTTCTAGGTCCATTCCTCTGTAGCAGGGATGACGGTGGCTCACCCCCGTTCTTTGGGCCGTGCTCTGGCCACTCTTACATTTGCTTTAGGAGCAACTGCTTGTCCGGCCACCTGCCCTAGGGAGTGAGGACCTTTGGTTTGGTGAGTCTTTTGCCTGGCCTCTGACTCGCACGCAGTCCTGCAGGGGCTGGCTGTCTCCCTTGGTCAGCGTGGTGTCTCTCTGTTGTCTGGCGACAGCTTTCCTGTCTGTTTCATGTCCTCTCCCGTTCCAAGCTGTGTAGTTGGTTAATGGCTTAAAATGGTTTCCCAGGGCATTCAGGGGCTACGCAGAGAGGAAGAGACGGAAACGAGAGAATGATTCTGCAGCTGTTATACAGAGGTAGGGCCCGTTTTCTCCCCTAGCCGTAACCTTGCCCAGTGTTGCATGAGCCCTTCGGGTCTCAGTAGTGACGCTTGATGACGTTGAACGTGGTTGTCCCTGTCTATGTTGCTGTTGGTAGGGACACTAGCGGTGGCTGTGGTGGAAATGTGGAGGTGAATGATGCTGCAGTGCTCGGGATAGCTGATCTCCCTCTTCTTAAAGGAACACTGTCAAGTTTCTTTTAAGCTTCCAAATATAATATACAGGATCTGTGTCTCAGGCAGAAAAATATATTGTGTATATATATTAAAAAAATGCGTTTTCCTCAGCCCTCTCCCAAAGATTTGGAATTTGTTTGAGATTAGTTGAATATCTAACCAGTGACTTCTGTGTGCTGTTGCTGCATCTACAAATGCACCTCAAAGATCTGAGACCTAGGCAAAATGAACATCTCTACTGACCAGAAGTCTATTTCTTTCATCTTTTTTTTAAAGAACAGAAAGAAAAGAAAAGAGGATGGGGACTAATTCCTTGTCCGGGTATTACAGAAGGGTCCTGGTTTCCCTCTGCTGGCTTCACAAGGCACATCACTTAGCTGCTGTGGTGATCAGAACTGTTCTGGTTTTTTAAATGTGCCAAGGCTCGTGTATTTTGTCAGCCTACTGAGAAGGATAACACAGCAGTTGTGTCATTGGCTGAAAACTGCCATGATTGCTGTTCAAAACAAAGTGGGAGAAAAATATCAGGTTTTCTTAACTGGGAAATTGCCAGGAAGATTTTTTTTTTTTTTAGCAACTTAAGGGTGGTGGTTTTTTTCATCAATAATGGAAAGAAATAAGAATCAAAACTAAAGATGCTGGAAACAAATAGACAGTGTACCTTTAAAAAGAAAGAGATTTCTCTGAATTTTTTAGACAGAGGCAAGTGTTGGTTAGAAAATGGTTTGTTCACACGGGTTACAAGCACAGGAGTAGGAGTTGTATACCTTGGTCATGCTGAGTAGTCAGGACAGAGGACGGAGTCATGTCACCCTTGTGCTGAGCAGCCACCATGTCCCCTCACCTCCTGGTGACACTGAAGATCTGGGCAGGATTGTACAGTGGGAGCCCATCTGCATCTATCTTGTGATAAAGAGGAGAGAGGGGCCCAATGATGGGCTTTGGTCAGAGGGGGTTTTGTCTGTGCCACGCAGGCAGACCCAGGATTGCTGGCAGTTAGTGTTCAGCTCTCTTCTCCAGCGGGTGAGGAGGACCCCAGCCCCACCACAGTTTCAGATGCTTGCAGGGCAGCCCTTCATGGCCTCAGGTGTTTCAGAAATTCTGTTGTTATCACACAGCCCCCGCAGTGCTTGGCCCCGTGTGTCTGGCGTGCGGTGCGGCTGGTTTGCGTGGCACGGCACATGCGCTGGTGCGATGGATGTTGCTGCGAGAGTGCGTGATGGCCAGTGGTTCGCTGGACCTTGTGACTGCTGCAGGGAGGAGCTGGGGAGGAGAACATGAGAGGTGCTGCTGGGAGTTTTGCAGAGAATCGATGTACATCAGTAGTTCTGTCATTGACCTCTGTTTGGGTAAGGAAAAGGCTTCTTTGCGGAGTGTGAATGAGCCGCCGCAGGCAGAGCTGCGGGGTGCACAGAGTGGGGCTGCTGCGTCTCGGGGACCCTTTGGCTGGGATGGACACCATGGAGGTGGCGCAGGGTCATGCGGGCTGTGTGGAGCCTGTTGGAAGGAGGACTGTTCAGGAAAGGGAGTGATAAGGAGATTTTATCACAGTAGCTTTAGGGATGCTTGTTGAATTTTGTCGGGTGAAGAAATCTTGCTAACAGTGGGTCTGGTGGGTGCAGCTGCAGGAGGCAGGAAGACTGGACAGGCTTGTGCAGCCCCACAGCTCCCAGAGCAGATTGCAGCTCCCCGGGGAGCTGTGCCAGTCCTCTTGTGCTAACATGCAAGCGCAGAGGGGCCTCAGGACCAATGCAGCTGCAAAAACCCCTCAGAAGGATCTGGGTGGCCACAGGATGCCCACATTAAGAGGCAGTCACAGGCTTGCATCTCCTTTCCAAAATGCTTTTTTTCTAGAAGAGCTGAGGGTCCCATTCTCCAAGCATTTAGTGCAATGGTGAACCCTGAGCAGCTGGATTCTCCCTGGAGCTGCTCTCAGCAGTATTTAGGAGATGTATGTAGACAGCTGCCCTCAACCCGCACTCGTGGGACAGACCAAGCTGTCTAGGCAGCTGGGAGCATCGCTCTTCTATGGCAAAGACCGCTTAACCCCGCTTCCCCCAGGGTCTGAAGAAGCTCCTCCGCAGAGAGGACAGCTGAGCATTTAACAGAAACATGGTTTTTACTCCAAAATGCCAAAAGCCCAAAGGATGTACCAGTGGCCTTGGCCATTAACATTGGTGCTCGGTATTTGGTATGATCTTGGTCTCACAATGTACCATAAAGATTTTCATTCTGATATGTTACAACGTATCTAAGATCTGTCTGTGTAAAGAATGACCCTGGTTCCCTTAAAATATTGTATTTGTTTGGATTTGAATCTAACGTGCACTAAGACAGCCCACGTTATCAGTCATCACGCACTCCAGAAGGCTTTGTACATCGAGCCAGTCCAGCATGTGTTGGTGAAGCGAATTGCTTTAGTCACTTGTCTAAAGGAGGCAGTTGTCTGATCCACAGCGGTGAATCTTCACATAGCCAAGTAGAGCTAAAAAAAAATCTTTGGAAAATAATATTAATAGCCCAAGTGCAGATGGAAATTTGTCGTGGAATAATGTTGCTTCCAGCTTCACTACACAGCTGCTAGTTTTCCTTCTTGAGCTGCAGAATTTGGATCCTGATGACAACATGGGATCCAAGGCCAAAGTCGGGGACAGTGCAGAAGGTGACATGGGGTGGGTGCTCTCCCCAACATGGGATCCAAGGCCAAAGTCGGGGACGTGCAGAAGGTGACATGGGGTGGGTGTTCTCCCTGAGGGCTGTGTTTGTGTTGCTCTCTGTACAGGAGCAGACGTGTCTGACTTTCTCTGAACAACTTTGTGTCAGTGCTTGAAGTGTCTTCCAGTCCAATTAGTTCGCTAAAACATCTGCATGGTTGTGACGTGTCCTTACTCATCCCACTAACTCGTGTGTGAGCCGAACAACTTGTCGTTTTACCCGTTTCACCAGCAGCATTCTCTGTTGCTTGATGTCTGCGGTGTACGTTGGTGGACAGAGGGGATCTAGGAAGGTTCCCTGACTGCGGGTGCACAGGCTCACCGACATCCCTGGGGGCTGCACAGCAGGGGAAAGTCACCCTGACTCAGTTGGGTTCACAGAGGGGTGACACTTCTTGATAGTCCATGTGCTGCATCTTCCCTGTGTCTCCTCTGTGTCCTGTTTGGTTCCTGTCCCCTTCGGTTCCTGGCTAGGTGAGCAATGAGAAACTGAGGGAAATGGGTCACTTGCACCTGGAGGAGCTGGACAAAGCGTCCCTCTGCCATGGTCTCAGGAGTGGCCAGGAAGGTCTGTTTTACACAGACCTGGCTACAGAGTGTAACTGCTCCCCGAAGCTTACCCTCTGGTGGACTTTCCTCTGGAGCTGCGTACTCTGCAGCCCCACTGAACCCTGCCTGCGAGTCCCCGGCAGGGGACACATGGTTCAGCACAGCGCTGGCAGAGAGCAGACCCATGGGGACAGTCAGCCTTGCTGAACGGTGCTAGCCAAGGAGGAAGAAGCTGCTTCACTCTTGCCCAGCTCTCTGCCCTGGAGAGCAGAGCAGGCTGCATGGTTGCTAACAGCACGGGTGGGATTTTAGCAGCTGCTGTGGATGTGTTTGGGAGCAAGCACAACCATGAGCATGCTGTGTGCATGCGGAGAGAGCAGAGCCCGGGCACCCCACCTCCCTTATGAAGCATGTGTGGAAGAGAGGAGACAGGGAGCAGTTCCTGCTGCTTGCCGGGAGAAGAGGGAGCGTTGCCAGCACGGGCAGTGGCAGTGCCTTCAGCAAGGTTGCTGCACAGGTGCTTTAGTCATGGGAAAGTGAAAGCAGGCTGTGAGAAGTGGTCTGCCATTAGGCTCTCACTTGCCCTGTACCACCAGCCCAGGGAGTTCAGAAGAAACAGCCATGCTCTTGACAAACATAACCATCCCCAGCACTGAATAGGTGCAGGCTGGGAGCCTGGTCTCCAGCTTTTGAATGCCCAGAAGGAAATATGCTGTCTTCCCAATTTTATTTTTTTTCCTCCCATTTTTTTCAGTCCTGCTGGGCCCAGGTGTTGCTTCATATTACTTTTCTCAGACATTTTGTTTGGCCTTTCTTTCAGGAATTTTCGGAAGCACCTCCGCATGGTGGGGAGCCGAAGGGTTAAAGCACAAAGTAAGTGAGCACCTGTAATGTGTGGCTGTGAGGAGTTGGGGATTGTGCTGGTGGGACACAGGGAACCCTACACTGTGCACAGATGCAGGTAGAAAGGACTTAGCGTTCAGCTGGACAAAGGATTTGACCTGCTGATGCCATTTTCCCCTGCACAAAAGAAGGCCAGGTTGGTGCAAGTCTCCAGGACACACAGAAGTCTGCAAGCAGCCTGTAAGCTGTCTCCGAGGACCCTCTGCCTTGGCTGTGGGAGATGTCTGTGGCCTCAGGGTGAGGAGTGGAAGGAGAGCTGCAGCATTCTTGTTCCATGTGCGTGTGGTTTTCGATCATCACCAGCGTAGATGCTTGTGAGGAGAACCAGAGCAGAGAGTCCAGCAGAGCTGGCGAGGGCTGCCCTGGCCACGTGCTGAAGCTGCAGACCAGCTGTGGCTCCTTGGGGACAATCGATGCTTCACGTGCCACATGGACTGGCGACTTTCTCTTTGGTCACCGCCAGTTCTGCAGCAGGACCTGGTGGAAAGTTGTCCGGTGGGAGCTGAGAGGATGGTGGAAGGGGAAAAAAAGAGGAACAGGGAAGAGATTGGAGCAAGGGGGAAATAAGGGAGTGTTATGCCTCGCTGGGGAAGAAATCACCTCTTGAGCCTGGGAAATGGCAGTTCCCTCTCCATGAGCAAGGCAACACTCCTCTGTAACTTGTTTGGGGCAGCTCCCTTATTGCTGTGAAATGGGCTGAGAATGGTGTAGCCTACTCCTGAGAGCTGAGGATTGCTCCAGAAAAGGAAACAGCTTGTTCTTCCCATCCCTTGGGCAGGCATTGTGTACAGACTGCTCACAGCAAAGTGTTGCAGAGTTGAATTTGCATTCTTTCCTCTCCTTTCTCATATGCCATGGGAAGAGCAAACAGCATCGCCCTTTGAAGTGTCTTTATTGGCATCTGAGTTAGCACTGCCTGAGATGAAGAGGGCTCACCTCCCCCTAGAGCTGTCTGGAAGTTCAGGCATGCCTCTCTGCCTTGGTAACTCTCGGGTCATGTTTTCAAAGCTTTCTTCCTGTGTACAAAAGCTAAATGCCTGGTTTTAAATGAAAGCTGAGGATGGAGATCACCTGAAGAACTTCCTATGTGATTTGTCTCCCTGGACACCCACACTTGGATGAGCTGCAGCAGAGGACAGGTTGCTTCTCAGCTCTTGTGATGCAGATCTGCGGAGAATTCCTGTGTCTATGCTGCAGCAAACTTGCTCTGTGTGCTACCAGAAAGAGGTATTAGTGGCTCCAAGTGGCTGTTAATCTAGGTGTAATGGCTCTCATGAAGGCTTGCCAAGGCTGACATTGTGGTTGGCAGTTCCCAGGAATTTGTCTGTGGTGCAGCCAGCTCGGCCAAGCTCCCTGGATTCTGCTTAGAAATGCTGGTACAAACGATAGAATGCCTGTTGGAAAAAAAGAGAAAAAGAAAAAGAAAGCTGGGGGGAGTGCTCACAAAATGCAGGCAAGCAAAAGCTGAAGGATTTCCTCTTTTGCAAAAAAAATTAGAAAATGTGAGCTTTCTAGAGGCCACTTCTCAGTTTGGTCCAGCTCTGGGATGTCACTAGAACATGAAGGGAGAACTGGGGAACTCCTGCCTTCTCCTGGTCATGTGTGTCATTAGCTGCTGAGTACATCTTCCTGCGAGGCCTTTGAGTCAGAGCATTTACACTGGGACACTGGAATAGCTGTGATTAAATTGAGGTTTGAGCAGCGTGCATGTAAGGAGAGACTACCAAGTGTCCTCCTTTGTCTGTGTTCCATACCCCCTAATGGTTCTGCTCAGAAAGCGGGCACTTTGGCTTCTGCTGTCTCTTGCTTGCTGTGTGGAAAGGACTCATGTTTGGCAAGTGGAAGAACAAGCACAGGGGAGTCCATGATGTGTGGCTTTGGTGGAAATCTGCTGGATGTTTTGTTTTGCTGGCAGCGACAGAGGTGGCTTCAGAGTCTGTTAATGTCGTGCTTTGGTTTTATCCTAGCATTTGCCGAACGGCGTGAGAGGAGCTTCAGCAGGTCCTGGAGTGACCCAACTCCCATCAAAGCCGATTCCTTCCATGACTCTCGAGAAAGTGAGTTCTGAGTCCTTTGAGCTTCCTCCTGTGGCCAAACCCTCCAGCTGAGGTGTTGACTGGAGTCCCGCTGGAGCAGCTCCTCTGTGCCCTGTTGTCCTATCTGTGATCCTTTCAGTTTCATGAGATCTGAGCGAATAACACTCCAGATACATGCACCTGTTCATCTGTGTGTACCTATATTTATCCGTACAGCACAACACATCTAACCTCATGTCACTGTGCAGTTTCCAAAGGACACCCAGTGCTACAGCTCTCTTACAACCCTCTGTTCCCATCATCCCTTATTCGCTTTGGGACCAGACAACCTCCCTGAAAGCACACCAGTCCAAGGGGACATGCATCATGGTGAGGCCAACCTGCCTGGCTTTCTGTGCCAGAGCCCCGGCTGAGCTCTTTCCAAGGCTAGAATAGCTCAGGAGCACAGCTGCAGCACTCTGTGAGGTGTAGCTTTCATTTCCTGGCTGTGCTGGCTGCACAGATGATAGCTTGGGGCAATCTGATCCTCGTTTGGGCTGCTAGGAATTCCTCTGGGAATCCCCAGTAATGCTGCGATGTTCCGCTTGTGGGGACTGAGATGCTGTTGTGTTAATTTATGGGAGGAAATGCCAGCATCTTCCCACTGTCCTTTTGTAAAGGGAACAGCTGTCTTACCCAGATTTTATTGAAATCCTGTAGGCAAGGGATTCAGTGGAGTTTGCTCATGTTGAAACAGGTTGTGTGGTAAATGAATTTCACTAATGAAATGAATTGCCCTCTCAGGTAAGCACGAGATCCAGCCCTCCTAGCTGGAAGTTGTAGAGGGAGATGTATGAAAGGCCAGGTTCAAAACATGACCCGATTGTTCCTTTGCAGCCTGATTCCTCCCCGCTCCCTCAGCTAACTCAGAGGCAAATGGAAAAGGCATGGTTCAGCCAGGCTCCGGGCACTGCCCACTGACACTCGGACATCCCAAAAGGCACAAATCTTGGTTCTCTTTCCTCACTCCCTGGCTTCAGGGACACATCTCTGTCTTTAACCTTTAACGGTCGATTATATTCCTTCCAGATTTTTTTTTCCCCAGGAGGCATTGAAGGCCAACAGGTAAGGCCAGTTCAATGGAGAGCAAATTGAAGTACACTGTTGTAATACTGCTGTGTTTGTTACGGCTGTCCTCACGCTCTGGGCGTTCTCTGCCAGGATCAATTTGACCAGCAAGGCAGAGTTTCTTTATAAATCACTCAGAAGTCGTAGTCGGAGCAGTAATTATTACAAGGAGACCAGCTTTGAAGTCTTTGGACTTTTGCTCATCAGCTTGGCAATGTTGAAGTGTACAGAGTCTGTCTGTGTTCTGTCCCCTCCATTTCTGAAATTACAAGGTGACTGTTGTGAGTTAGCATTTGAAAGCTGAACGTGGTGGCTGTGAGAGTGATGAAAAGTTCCGTGATATGTGGTATCGGGCTCTGTGTGTGCACTCTTTATTTATCCGTTAAGTGTTTGTCCATTTAGAGACGCCAGCCCCCAAGTGTGGTGTCTGTCGCTCTGTGGAAGGAAGGAGGGCACAGGCCTCATGGCTTGTGTTCCTCTTGGGAGGTAGCTGCCCGGCAGGATGGAGTGGGGAAGGCAAGCTGTTCCGCCCCTGTAATGCACACTCTGTTCTGGCAGGCCATGACATTCAGGATTCCTGCGGCACTTTGGACGGTGACTTTGACTTGAACTGGGAAGCGGAAAAGGAACTTGAAGCCATGGCATGTGACGGAGAAGACTTTATTCCACCAAAAATAATGGTGAGGATTTCCAACTCAGGCACCTGTATCTGCTCGGGCTGTCTGTCCTTTCAGAGCTGCTAAGTTTAAGATCTTCATGGGAAGGGCCGAGTCTGTTGTACAGGCAACTCTTTGGGTGTGTATGAGGGTCACTCAGAGACCAGCCAAGACATGACACAGTATTCAGCATCTGTTATCACTGGGGATGTGTTGAAAGAAAACTAGAAGTGGAAGGAGCTGTAGTCCAACCTCAGATCAGAGCAGGACTGTGACCAACACTGAGTCGAGTTAGCCTGACTCTCGATAACCCTAACAATAGACACCTGAGTCCCTGGTCCCAGCAGTCCCTCCCTCCTGTTGTTGCAGCTGTGTGTCATCCCTTGAGATACTTTCTGCTCTTTTATCACTCCTTGATGCTAGGCTCCCCCCTGCTCTGCTCCATAGAGTTTGGCAGACAGGACCAGGTCTGACACATCCCTTCTTTGGCCAAATGCACAAGTACTCAGCCAAAATGGGGTCTTGAGCTTCCAGCTTCTTCTCAAGGCAGCATTGCCAGTCCAGCACCGCAGTACTGTGTTTGAATGGGTCCTGCTAAGACTTGGGAAGAACAAGGACATGGAGACAGTGTGCTTTTATATATGTTCCCAGGCTGTCTGTGCAGTCTCAGCCCTGAAGCATTCTCGGGGCAGAGTGACCAGGTGAGACCCAAACACCAGGATCCTGGCCCTTGGGTTTGCTCAGCCCTTGGCACACCCAGCATGTCTCCCCAGGTGGTGTACGTGAGGAATGGCCATCCCTGGACTCTCTATATTGTGCCTCTTCAGAAACTTTACATTCACTCCCATGTGGCCAAAGCAGTGACGTGCCGCCTGCCAGGAGGGAGGGCTTTGAAGCCAGCCCAAGCTGGAGTCCAGACTGCACAAGCCCACCAGCACCACTGCCTGCCCCACTGTCACAGCGGTGAACAGAGGTGCCTGAAATCACAGCACGGCCAAATTGCCCGTGTTCCCATAGCCCTTTGGCTTGTGCTGATGGCCGGCCCATCCTCTCAGGCTCTCGTGCTGACGGAGCCAGCTGAAGCTGCAGTCAGAGCTACCGGACAGCCTGCATCTGCCTGACATCCCACGGCTGTGTGCCTGCCTGTGCCTGATGCCATTTCGTCCCTTGGCTGGTTCCCGTTCAGGCACGCAGCCATCCCACCGCCAGCCAGCTGCGCGTGCCAGTTTGAACAGTCCTCTGCAGCCATAAGCCAGGCCCTCGCCCAGAGGAAGGCTGTGCAGAAGTGATCTTTGCTGGGATACAGCCATTTGTGGGGCTGCTCAAGCTGCTCCATCCTCTGCGCACACTGGTCTCCCCTTTACAGACTCATCTCGGAGCCAGTCCTGCCTTTTGGGCAGAGATGCATGCTGCGTTGGCGAGGCTGTGACACGTGGGGGTACTTGGCAGGCCTGGGGGTGCTCTGCAGTGGACCAAAGGCTTGGAGGGCCTTCCACAGGCACGCAGGCAGGCTGGACTAGCTGCTAGTTTGGGTAGCACCTGAGAGCAACTGAGCAGGGCACTGTTCTCATGGCCTTTGTGCTTCTGTCCAGACTCTGCTGGCTTCTCCTGATCCTGTTGCACTTCTTTTTTTCCCCTTCCAGCTCATTTCCTCCAAGGTGCCCAAAGCAGAGTATGTCCCAACAATTATCCGCAGGGACGATCCCTCTATCATCCCCATTCTCTATGTAAGTATATCACTTCTGCTACGTCTGGGTGTGTGGGAGCAGGCTTCAGACAGACTTTTTTTTTTTTTTTGTCCTTACCCCTAGTTCCTGTTATGGTGATTCTGAACCACTGATGTGACCTGGAAAAACTGTCAGGAAAGGGCTGTCGATGTGCTGCACCCATATTTAGGGTCTGGGGTAGTTTTGTGGGGGCTCAGGTGTAGGTGGAAGAGTAAGGTGCAGTGAAAATGGCACATGTGGGCTGCCAGACCATGCAGGCACAGCCAGGCAGCACGGGCAGATTAACAAGGGAAGGCAGGGCAGGGCTGAGCACACAAAGCTGTGGTTGCCAGGCTTAGGGCTCCTCCTTCTGCTTGTCCTTAGGATGAGCAGGACCTGGGAGCTCTGCAGAGGACTGTGAACCCCATCACCCTGTGTACAGTGGTGCATCCCTGTCAGTCATTAATTTAACCTTGATTTTTCACAAGGAATCCTGCCTGAGCAGGTCTGAACCACTAGCAGGGAGTAAGGACTCTCTTTCCTAACCACTTTCTGCTCACTTAATTTGAAAGGGAAGAGTTGGACTGACAGCCGAGAAAACTCAGTCTCCGTGTGCAGCAGGCAGTGCTGCTTGGGGATTTAGCTCTGGTGCTTCTCTCTGCCTTTGAGAGTTGTACCATTGTCCTGATGGCCCTGCTGTGCCAGAGGAGTGTGTCTGTTTGGTAGCCAGCTTGGACACGTGTAAAGCCAGAGGCTGGCTACAAAACATGGGCCAAGAGGCAAATCCGCATTGCTGATGGTGACTGCATCTGATGGATGGTTTGTGCTTTGTACTTGTCTGCAGGATCCATCTCCAAGCCTTTGGATGGACTTGATCTTCAGGGACCATTCGGTCCTCAGCTTCTTTGCTGAGATGTATTTTAGGGTGGCAGTTACTGTGATGTGACTAGAAGCCATCAGTTGGTACAGTTGTGCTCTTAGAGGATCTGTTTGCCTGGGAATGGGATTGTGTGTAATGTTACAGACTATATTAATGTCATGGGAGCTGGTGCAGTGGCAGTGAAGCTTAATATGTCTTCACTCTTGGTTTCCAGGACCATGAACATGCCACCTTTGATGACATCCTAGGTACGTGAGTGTTATTTCCTTTTCTGAACTCCTGCTTGTTACAAATGGAACTGATCAATCTGTTAAAGTCACTCCTCTGCCCTGTGCCTCAGCGTAAAGATGGTTTTATCACTGCAGTGACATCTCACAGCTGCTGTTGGATGTGCTGCAGTAGTAAAACTTCACTTCCATGGCCCATTTTCTGTGCCAAGCTCCCAGTTTATGAAAGGGAAGCTGAGGCACAGGGCAGTGACGATACCTGTTCATTGTACCCTTGTAGGTGAGTAGGAGCATGGACAGAGGGGCAGGATGGGGTCTGGTGCAGCTCTCTGGTCACTATGGAGCAGTGGCTGGTCCTGCAGCACACCTTCTCTGCCCTGGGACACGCTGGGTTTCCTGCTTTCCACAGTGGGAAAGCAAAGGGTTTGCTTTGCCATCAGTAGGAATGTGGGTGCTGAGCACCTTTCACAGTTCAGCCTCCTGCCTTCAAGACTAAAGTGAGAAGAAATAAGATTAATTTTTAGCTTCCTCCATGGTTCATCTTTTCCATCATGTTTTTTTGCAGAGGAAATAGAGAAGAAGCTTAACATTTATCGGAAAGGCTGTAAAATCTGGAAGATGCTGATATTTTGCCAGGTACATGGAAGTTGCTAAGCGCTTGTGTGGTTTGTTACAAATCTTTCTTTTTCTACAGGGAAAACTACATCGAGGAACCAATATTCCAAAGTCAGGTTCTGTTAAAGTAGCTGCATGTGTACAGCTTTCATTTCCCATTTCCCCAGACAGCAAGCAGTCTCAAGTTGCTGTGACAGCAAGGAATAAAATCTGATTTAATGCGGCCAGCTCGAGAGCTGCACTGCTTCTCAGCAGCTTTCAAGGAAAGCCAGGCAAAGCAGCATTAGTGCAGACCTCCAAAGGAGGATTTTGGGGAAAGGGACAAGCCTTGGCAATGCGATGGTTGTAGTTTTCGTACAGCTTCAATGTGACAGTGACAGTGGTGGGTGTTGTGGATCAGTCCGGTGGGTAGCACGGCTCAGAGCCAGTGGCCAGTGTACATGGGAGAGGGGTCAGAGTACAGGCTTGCCAAGCTGTGGGGAGAACAGATTCAGGTCCTGCTGAGTCTGGGGCTTGCCAGGAATTTATTTCCCAAGGCTCTTGTTCCTCAGGCTGGTCAGCTTTGGACTTTCCCAGCAGCTGTGCAAGGAACCTTGAAACGAGAAGTTAGGAAGGTAACCTCACTTGAACTCCCTCCCATGTGCCTAATGCTGTGAAATTGCAGCGCACTGACCGGGAGATTGCAGCTCTTAATCTTCCTGATGTTGTGCTCAATCTTCTTACGCCTGCTGCTGCTGAAGCCCAGTTCTTCTCCAGTGACGTCTTGCTGGCTTATCCCTGCTTTGCTCAGCTTATTGTCTGCCCACGACAACGGCAAGTCCCCAAGCATCCCCAAATGAAAGGGACTTTCTTGTCTTCCTTATTGCTCTCCAGCCACTCCCAATGAAGATTTTTGGCTATTATTGTGCTTTTCTAGAGTGAGGTATGCATATAACAGTAAAAATCAGACAGTCTAACCCCCAACATACTCCTCATATGTGGGTATTTCCAGAGCCAGTGCCTGCGGTGTCCGCTATGGCGTTGCAGCAGCTGTGCCAGGCTGGCGTGTCTGCTCTGCTCCCTTGTGGCACTCCTGGGTATGGCTGTGCAGGACAAAAAACATCCAGGGTTTGTTTCTTCAGGGCCTGTGCGAAGTGGTTTGCATTTGTCTGTCTCTCTCTTGCAGGGAGGTCCTGGGCACTTATACTTGCTCAAGAACAAAGTTGCCACTTTCGCCAAAGTGGAGAAGGAGGAAGATATGATCCTGTGAGTGGTGGGGTTACGCTGTGGGCTCACCGAGCATTTTTCTGCTGGGTTTGCTTCGTGTTTATAACATATGGCCTAGAAGAAGAGGGGGAGGGAGCTGGGGTGGATTGATCAGGGGACGAGGAGGCTGAAGGGGGACCCAATAGCCGCTTACAGCTCCTTCAGAGGGAGCTGCAAAGATGACGGAGCTGAGCTCATCCCTGGGGTGGTGTGGCCCTGTGACAGGTCACCGGGAGATTTATGCTTTTATCTGCTGTTCAGTGTGTCTCTGGACTAGAGACTATCAAAAGAGGGAAAAAAATCTGTACTTCCTCCCTTAACAAGGGCTTTGCTGACCATCAACCAGAACATGTACCTCGTGCCCCTGTTGCTCAGAAGTGGCTGAGATAGCATTTCAAAGCAGGTGACTAGTGGCAGAAATCCAAACCGTTCCCCCCACAGCTGTCTCCGGTAACTGTCCCCCCTAATTGCAGGGGGAACTGGAATTTGTCTCCGCAAAGCCTGCTCAAAGTCCAGCACGTTACTGCGGAGGGTTTTCGCTACCGTGCCAGCCTGTTGGCCAGGGTTGCTGAGGCAGTTTTGCTTCTCCTTGCAGAGAGTTAAGCTTTGCCTGTTTTGCTGCCTGCTCACTTGTGCTGGCTCAAGCTTACTTGGCTAGCAGTGCTCCGTTGTGGGGGAGAGCGTGTATACCAGCCTGTTCCTACACAACTTTTTGTTGGCACGAGAACTGAGTATTAAATTCAACATCTGTTCAGCGCTCACACACTCTGGCACAAACACTGTCAATAAAATTCTTAGGCACGTGTGCACATACACACTTCTGAACGGTTTCCAGGCATGGCTGGTACGAAGTTGGTAATTCAGGAACCTTCAGAAAGCTGTGAACACAGCTGAAAACTCAGATGCTTGGAAGTAAATGTCTCCAACCAACCTGTGTGTGCCTGGGAGGGAGTCCTGAGAAAAGCTTACGGTGCAATCTGATCGCAGACCTCACAGGGAAACTGCTGGGCTTTAGAGCCCACCAGAAGCCTGCTCTAACGCACTGCACACGGGAGGAGGTTGGATTTCATGTCCCTTGGGCACAGTGTGCCTCGGCAGTAGTCACTGTGAAGCGGGTCAGGCTGGTGAGCAGCACGGAGCACTGGCTCGTGGAACAGCCTGGGTTGGTGGTGTCTCTCTAGCTACGGAGAGCAACCACCTCCCCAGCTGTTCCCTGCTGATTTCACGCCCTGGAAATTAACCAGTGCACTGATAACTCTCGTATTTAGAAAGAGCAATTTGCTGATAGAAATGGGAGAGAGGAAACAGGAGGGGACTGCTACAAAAAGAGGATGCTTGGTAAAACTGTCAGTCGAAAAGCTCTCCTGGTGGACTTTGCTCTCTCCTCTTCACCTTGGAGCTGCCTTGGCTCAATGGGCTGCTCCTCCTCCTCTGCCACATGACCTGGACCTGCTCCTCAGGCCTTGCTCTGCCCCTGCTCTTCCTTGCCTAAGAACCAACATTTCCTCCTGAGCAGCTCGCTCCTCAGGCTCCACGCCTCCGGCCCCTTCTGAGTGGTGTGAGCACACATCTGTGTGGTTACTCATGCGTATGAGGAGATAGATTTTTTTTTTTTTAATTATGTATTCTGTTTTTTCCTGTTTCTTCTAGCTTCTGGAAGAGGTTGAGCCGGCTGATGAGTAAAGTCAATCCTGAACCAAATATCATTCACATCATGGGCTGCTATGTTCTTGGAAACCCCAATGGGGAGAAGGTAAGAGCACCACGCCCAGGGAGGCAGCAGTTGCACTCTGAAGTCTAAACCGTCCTCTTCTGCTGTGTGGAAACAGCCACAGCTGCCATCCCAAGTGGCTGTGAATGGGGGAAACCACCCTATGGATTGTGCCTTCCCCAGAGGGCAGGTGACAGGAAGGGACAGATACTGAAGCCTTTGGGGGGAACAATCATTCACAGCATTTTATTAACTCATGACCTGGATGTTTTAAAGGACATGTAGTAGAAGGGTTTTTAGAGGTAGGGAACAAGGATGGGCAATTCTGGAAGTCCATCTTTGTTTTCAGCTGCTAACTCTTGATATATTTTCCTTTCAGCTATTTCAGAATCTGAAAAACTTAATGAATCCTTATAGGGTTGCCTTTGAGTCTCCACTTGAACTATCAGCTCAAGGTAATTTATTTTCTGTACAAAGACACATGTCTTCCTGACCAGCCTGCCTTCTTGAGTGGGCACCTTCATGAAAAAGCACTTTTGAGCTCCCTTAAGCCCTGCCATGGTCTTCCTTTTGCTTGTAACCACCTTGTGTAGTTCTCTTGCTGAACCAGGTTCTCCCCTTGCAATTCCTCCATGCTCACATCACATCCATTCTGTTGGTTGTGCCTGAAGCTGCAGAGCCCTTTCCCAGGCTACCGGCAGTGGCAAAGTAGTATAAATAATAGGCTGCTTTCCAGGCTGAGTTTAGGGGATTTGTCATATTACTGGAGCGTTTGAAGTCTGTGGAAGAGATGCACATGGAGCAGAACCTTTTCAGTAATCCAGTGTGCAGGGATCTCGTACTGGTACCCAGTGAGCTGTGTCATCAACAAGCAGCTGGGATGAAGCACACTACAGCCGTTAAACATCTTTGCTTTGCTTTTTTCTGCCTGTAGCTCACGAGATTTCAATGGGCTATCAAATTTTTCCTCTTCTCTGGCCAATCTAAGTAATTATGGGTGCAGTTTCAAAAGCAACATGTAGTCCACTTATTCTGAAGCTGCCCTTGTTATTTTATCTTTGCTGTAGTCCTTGGCACTGTGCTCTCCTGGAAGAGCACGTCCAGCATTAGGCTGTAAGCGGTGTGGGTGCTGCCTCTGCTCGCAGCTGGCAGCAGCACCAATGGGTTATTCTTAACTCCCACTGACTGTCACAGGAATGTACGGGAGCAGAGTATGTTTGTGCTGCGCAGAGTTCTCTGTGCATGTCCTGCCGAGGTTTGGACCCAGCTTTGTGCAGTCCTTGCACAGATCCCACAGCAAACATGCTCGTACATGTGTGCCAAGAAGCAAGTTGCAGGGAAGTTCCTGGGTTTACATGCAGCAGGTTCTGCGCACATGCATTTCAGGAGTTGATCTTCCAGGAGGCTTGTCTGGAGAATATGTCTGGATTTATCCCCTTGATCAATCTGGGACGTGCTAATAGTGTAACCTCTCTAATCCTTCTCAAAGTCATCTGAAACTCATCTTAATCAGGCCTCAAAAGCGAAAATCCCCTCCTTGAGCCTTGTCTCAGAGTAAAAAAAATATGTTGAATTTTCAATGTTAATTATTTTTTTTTTAAATTATTTTCCACAAATCTTTGCAATGACTTCAGTCTTGATTTGTCATTTTCTGAAGGCCCTGTGCCGGGTTGCCTCAGGCAGGCGGTTGGAGCCTGTCCAGCCCCCGGTCCCCCCTCCGCAGTCAGTGCAGAGAGGTCAAAGTCTGGCAACAGGCTGTGCTCAGCTCCCGCCCCCACAGATGAACCCTGCCGGGGGATTGTAAGGAGATTTTCATGGTTTGAGGATATCTAAAAAGATATTTGCTTCTCACGGGCACCAGCACGTGCCCTGGGGCGGTGCTGAATGTCGGTATTCCCCAAATGAAGCACCTGGACAGGTTCTCCTCTGCCTCTGGAGGTGGATTGGGGTTTTTTTTGCTGCTGGGGCTTCTCGCGTCTCTCCCTCGTGCTGCGGGGTGTAACCCCTCTGCTTCATTTCACTTCTCCTAGGTAAGCAAATGATTGAGACTTACTTTGACTTCCGCCTTTACCGCCTCTGGAAGACCCGCCAGCACTCGAAACTATTGGATTACGATGACATTTTATGAGCTGGAGAAGACTTTGCAAGAGGAAGCTGATCACCGGTGTCCAAGAAGTCATGCTTATTGCAGAGAGACTTTTTTATTGGCACGGGGAGCCCTTCCGAGCCCTACAGGAGGCAGCAGTGCTAGAGGGAGGGAAGAAGGAGCCCTCGGAAGTGTGTCGGGAGGAAAGTCTCCTGGGTGAAGAGAGACTGGAGGGAAAGGGTTTGACACCTCGCTCGCCTCGGGTCAGAGCTGGGGTGTCTCAGGAGGAGCTGTGTGAGACGAGGACAGGATGGAGTTCCTGGCAGAACTGAGCTGTTTTGGGTCAGAATGGACCAGATTTGATTCCAGGTCCTTTTAAAGACTTTTGAAGCTCAGGTTTTCATACAAAAAATAAAATCAGTTACCCATGCACTACAATATAGAAGTGACCGGAGCACAGAGGAAGGAGGGGTTTGGATGGATGGGACCTTCTGTGCTGGGGATCTCGGAGAGCAAGGACTGCTACACCTCCTACTGCAAGCTTAGAGCAAGACGATCCAGTTTCAGTGTGAATATATACTGGAATATAGAATTGAAATCCAACTTTTTGTTTTGTTTTGTTTAATAGAAAATAAGTGCAATTTTTATAGCCAGAGGGGTAAAAACCCTCCCAATATTTAATTAGTTAAAAATAACACACCAGTAACCAATAGATGAGGTATCTTTGGTCTGCTTGAAAATATATTCAAAACGGTAATATATCTTCTGTAGACATATTTAATCACCAGCAAACATGGTTTTAACATAACTTAGCAGACCCTGCATGTCTGCTGCATTGATTAATCCGGTTTGGTTCATTACTTTCAGAGTAGCTGTGTTGCACTAACTGTATGTGCTCTCACGAATGTATATTTCTCCTCCAATTAGACACAACTTGTGTTACTTTCGATTTTGCTGCTTGCAAAACTATGGGGCTTTAGTTTTGCTGAAATGCTTTAGGTTAGAAATATGGAACCTGGCTGGGGAACCTCCGTCAGGTTCACTATGGTATAAAAACGAATTAGAAGTTAATAGCCATGGTAATTACTTGTTCACGCCAGTGTTTTGCTATGTGTAGAGAGACGAGTTCTCTTTCTAGTCTGCTGGGTGGAGCAGCGCGGTTCCACAACCATCAGAAACCCTCCAAGGAGACTGCTCACGGAGGCATTTGGAAGAAGTGCTTCTGGAGCAGTATGGCGCAGGTTTGTAGCATGAGTTTGAATCTTCCCTACGTTCACTTGATTGCCAGTTGTTTGTGCATAAACCACCTCTTTTCCAGTGCTAAAAAGTCCTGTTTATTGGTCTGAGCTGCTCGTATCCCTTCCTGTGTAGGACAGAGTAAACCCAGAGCTTTGTCAGAGCAGCCGTGGTTTGAGAACCCAGATTTATACCTGGTATTTGAGGATATATTGTGGAATAGATTTACCTTTTGTTTGTTTAGGTCAGGGGGTTGCTTTTTGTTTTGTGAAGGGGGTTTTTTTTCATGTTTACTCTCCTGGTTAGAGGATAAATACTACTTACAGTCAGCGTAGGTCACTGGCAATTCTAGGAGGTGATGAAAGTTATTTCTTTTATTAGTAAAATCTACTGGAGAAGTAAGAGGGAAAAGGATTGCCTTGGCTTCCTGATCTCCTGGTATCTAAAATTAGTTGGTTGTGAAGTGAAGGAAAATATATGTACAAATCTTCTTTTAAATACTTAAAGAAGTAGTTGTTCTGATCTGTAGCGTCCTCCTCCCCCGTGACATATCTGTGGTTGTGATTGTGGGGAGCAGGCTCTGGCTTTTTCTGAACCCTGTACATTTATAGCAGTTTCATAGCAACACCTTGGAAGAAATCATGTACATACAGTAAGTGAGGAGAGGAACAGGTGGAGAGAGATGGTTTGAAGTCATTGAAAGCACCGTGTTGACCCAAGGAGGGGTGGGCTGTTGCCTCCCCTCTGTTTTGGAGCTGTTGGAAGCCACCCTGCTGCGCTGGCCCAGCCTTGGGAGCTTTGGTGGCCGCATTTCATCCCTGGCTGGACTCTCATCCTCTTGACTTGGGTTGTGTTTTCCAGACTTGTAGCGAAGGGGATAATGGGCACCAGTCTGTAGCTTTAGGAAGAAAATGCCAGATGTAAAAAATAAAACAATGTATGCCAATTATCCGTGGTTTAGCGCGGTAGCTTCTGCCAGCTGTGCTTGGGAGAGGTGGGAGCTGTAGGTGCGATGAAAGCATGAAGTTGTGTTATTTAGAGAAGGAAATGGTGGTGGCAGGATAAAATGCTGACACAAAACTCTCCCCTTCTGACCCTTTTACCTCCTACGGTTGTGCTCCTGACTGGAGACAGACAAACTGTTCTTCCTTTCTCTTTTCTTAAGTAAAATCCCACTTCAGTGAACTTGGTAGCATGAATGTAGCATTGTGGAACTACTGAAAATCCTACTGAACTCCGAAAGGGCCCATTTGTGTATCCACTCCAGTGATTTCTCTGTAGAACTGCTGTATACCTACCCTCGGTGACACGTGTAGAGCTAGGGGTGCACAGTAGAACGGTAGCGTGTACGGTTGCCTAACTGTAGGAAGAAGTGTGTTTGAGCGAACATTACGGACTGTGTTACTGGTGCAGTTGCCTGTAGTATAGTAAAATGACAAATGGTGAATGCATTGCTCTCTTTTCCAAAGATCTGTATTCCTCATAGTTTGTGATGTTTATGACATGAGCATATTATCTCCTTTGTAACGTTCATTTGACTAAAGAGATGAAATACTCTAAAAGCTGCGACCGGAAAGACAATAGATTTTTGATGTTTGAAGTCCTTTGTGCGAATAGCGTCATTGAAGTTAAGAATTTCTGAAAGAGGAAAACAAATCTCTTCCCCCTTTTAACTGGGTGGTTTTTCAAGTGGCTGCTGGGAAAGGAAGGGATCAGCAGAGGATAGGATGCAAAAAAAAAAATAAAAATTTATAATTATTTAAACTTTAGAGTTAAAAATAGAGCCTGGAACTTGGCTGACCTCTGGGTATGTGCTCGCTGTCAGCATGTGGCATGGTCACAGCCGGGATGTCCCCTCCACAGAGGCCGAGCCTGTTCCTCCCACCCCAAGAGCCTCTGGAGCATCTTCCCTGGGGCGTGTTGAGGACCGGCCGGGCAGCGCGTGCGGGGCAGGGCTCACGGAGCGGTGGGTGCTGAGCACACAGGACAATTTGTCATCCCGCTGCTACCTGCTTCTGCCCTCCAGCTGCCTGCTCTCAGGGTGTGTCTGCAGCCTGAAACCCGAGTGTTCACGCGCAGTTGGTGATGATTGCCGTCCAGACTGGCTCGGTGGAGCTCACCCCGAATCAGGGTAATCTGTGCGAGCAGTTTATGGTGTGGTGAGCTCCCGTCCCCACCTGCCCTGTCAGAGGATCAGCTGCCCGTTAGCTCAGCCCCACCACGGGGAATGGCTGCCACAGCTCCTGCGTGCTCTGGATTCGCTTTGAGCAAGGGCAGGAGAAATGGGGACACCTGGTTAACCCCGAGAGCAGCGGATTAACCTGGGAGAGCTGAATCAGGTGCCAACCCTGGCTGCTCACCACCTGCTGGTGGCATTATGGTCTCGGCTGGGACCATCACCTCCGGGAGAAGAGAAGGGTGGGCAGTGAGTGCCTCAGCTGCTGCTCCTCTGCCCAGCTCACATGCTGGGAGCAGCCCCCGACCATATTCTCTGGTGCCCGGAGAGAATATTCACTCAGCTGGAGATGCTTGGGGGGTGGGTCATCTTCTTGGCTGTGGCACTTGTCCTGTGCAGGGTTTTCCAGAGAGGCTTTTCTCTTTTCCTCTTGTTCAGCCAGGAAGGAAGGGGAAGAAGAAAATGGAAGTTACTTGAGGGATGTAGAAATAGGTAGAAAATGGAGATAAAGCTGTTTGCACCTCTCCTCATGCTGCAGCCACCAGCTTCCCTTTGCAGCTGAGCTCCAGGCGTGGGGTGGGAAATGGATGAGTTAGCAGGTGATCCCTTCCTGCCTGGAAAAAAACCAAAACAAAACAGAAAAATCCTTGTAGCTCTTAGCAAAACATCTGATTGCCAAAGGCAGCCAGCCAAGCCATCCTGCCCCATGCGAGGACTCTGCTGTGCCCACCTTGGGATCCTGCCCGCGTCTGCCTCCCAGCGCCTCCAGAGCCGCCCGAGCCACGGCTGTGGGGGGTCCACGCTGCCCCTGCAGAGGGGCCTCTGGAAATGATTCTGTTCTTATTTTCTCAACCTGCTGGAGCTCAGCACAGGTTTCCAGCTCCAGTGGCTTCTCGAGTGTGTGTGTGTGTGTGTGTGTGTGCGTGTGTGTGTGTTCACATCTCTTTGCACACAGGCTCTTTCCCGTGCCCCGGGGGAGATGCCCCCCTGGCTTGCCCTGCAGCGTTCTCGTTGTCGTCCGTGCTGTGTGAGCGTCTCTCCGGCTCCTGGCACGCACCCATTTCACAAATAGCAGCTGCTGTTCCGCGACGTGACTGCGTTGGTGACCTGTGGCTGGGAGTTCCTTTTCCCAAGGCTCTGCTGGCAGAGTGACCGCACACGCCGCTTCGTCACCTCCAGGCGACATAAGTGGGGTTAGCTGAAAGAATGGAAAATGCTGATTTTAAATCCCCGGCCTGGAAATGGGAGCGTGCCCTTAATCCCGGCCCAGACAGGAGTGGGAGCGACAGGCTGGCTCTGCTCTCTGGGTGTCAGTGTAAGCATTCAACCCACAAAACCCAGCTGAAGGGTCACACTTACATTATTAATGTATTGGTTCAGGATGTTACTGTACAATTAAAAAAAAACCTTCCAGGGCCCTTGGTAACTGGCCTGTGTTGCTGGAACTGTGCATGGGAGGATGTGCTGGGTTGTGTCACCCTTCCGCGAGCCATCAGGCCATGCTGGGACACAGATCTGCAGGTGCACGTTAAGCCGAATCGCTCTGTGGTCTGGGCTTTGCTGTGACATTCCCTGGAGTGGATGATGCAGCCAGCCCTTCCGGAAGGATGCCGTGCAGGTATCCTCCCAAGGGATATTGAGCGGCACTAGAATTTTCTACGCCACTTGTAAAAATCTGTTTGTGATCCTGTATTTTGTCCCACTGATCACAGAGTACCTGTGGCTTTCTATATCTTCCATGGAAGGAGTGGTTTTTATCTGTTGTGGAAACATAAGCCAGCTGGAAAACTGTCACAGTCTTGACGACAACTCCTCCTGCTAATAATACTGTGTATTGGAGCTGAGTGAGTACACGGGTGGTGTAATGACCACAAACCTGATTGTGATCACTGTCGCTCCCAGGTAATGGTGCTGCGTCATCAGCTCAATTCATATAAGAGACCAGTGCTCACGGTCTCTGTCTGAAACGGCAGTGTGAGATCTCTGCTGAGGTTGTGCCTGAGGTATCGAAGACTGATGGGAACCGCTCGCTGCTTTGATTCAGAAATAAATTCAGCCCACCATACTGCCAATCAGTGGGAAAAAAGACTGGAAGGAATAAACATTACGGACATTAAAGAATCCATCTGAAGGGAAGCTAAACTGCATTTAATAATGTTTAATTAAATGTTTAGTAAATTTTAAAGAAGGAATACAACCTAATAATTTTTCATAGTATCGTATTGTTTGCAGAGGATCCTTAAAATTGACATAGGTAGGGACAGATAAGGCTCAGCCAGGGCTGTCTTACGTTACAGTGGGCACTCCAGTCCTCCTGATCTCAGCATCCAGATGAACTGGTGGTTGATCACAGCAGTGACCGCCTCGAAACCTTTAGCAAGAGGAGCCTCCCCACC